GACAAGGTTTTGTCATCTTATATTAAAGTTTTTCTTCATTACCCATTTAAGCCGTCTCCAGCCATTATTAACTGCTAGGTTAGTTTTTGACACTAAGGTGCTGTGAAGCTAAAAATAGCAAATAACCCAGTAAGATGAAATATACGAACCTGACCCCTAGTGGCCAGTTTAAAAACCAGCCAGTAAATTGAATGTTAAGAGAGAGAAAGAACTATAGCTAATAACGAGCGTATCAATTCTGTGTCGCCTGAGGAAATAAGTTCCGGGAACTTAAACTAATAAAACATTCTTACTTTCTGTCAGTGAAAGAAAAAAAAGTTGCGTTTATTGCACGAAAGTCTGATATTTAGGGTGTAAACAGAATTTTGTCTTATCAGTGGTTATTAGTTATTTCAAACGAATGTACAAACGTGACACTAGCAACGACTAAGCAAGGGTTTTTCGAGAAATTATTCGATAGGAAGAAACTATTAAATTAAAAATAAGACATGCTGGTACATAATTAATGTATGTTCAGCTAACACAGACAATACGGATACGTAGCAACGTAAAAAACAAATACGGTTTAGAAGTAATACGGAAGATGCATCCAGTCAATCTTTGTAAAGCTTAGCACGCAATTAGTTTGTCTGTGTTTGTGTACTCACAAAAAAGTGGATTTCCAATACGTTAATGCAACATCAGCGTCTTAATACAGGACAATACAGTGTAAAAACTCGAGTGACGTTTGACTTATGAGGTTGTAGTTTCCTGCCGCTAATTTGCCCTAGAGGAAGAACGGGATGTTAGGTCGACTTACAAAGCAAATATTCCAAGCGACTGTTTACGCGGGAGCATCCAAGGGCAACACTTACTTCTAACAGCTGTTAGTAATCCGAGAACCCCTTTTAATTAAAACATTTTTCGCGGCCCCTTAAACTTATCAATGCTTTTTGTTTTGATAAAAAAAATCCGTATATATGAAAAGTTGTATTCCAAAATTGAACGTTTTAATACACATATATATATATATATTTAATTTTCCGAAAGATATTTTTTTATTCTATAAATAATTAATATATATATATATTTATTTTTTTATGAAATTTCGGAAATGACTCGCGGACCCCCCAGTTTGAGAAACGCTGATTTATATATTTGTCATAAATCAGGAACTGCTCACTACGTGTTGCAAAACAATCTCACTAATCACTACAAACCTGTCAAAGAGGGACTATTTTCAACAAATCATCCAAGAAAACACAATTACGATGACAACTTGAATTCAAAGCCCCCTCTCACTTCTTTTTTTTTTACCGCCTGGCATTGCCTGGTGGTGAAGACACTCGAGTTGCAATGTATAGGTCGCGGGTTCGAATCTCGCCACCGTATGTGTTCGCTCTTTCAGCTGTGGGGAGTTATAATGTGACAATCAATCCCATAATTCGTTGGTAAAAAGAGTAGCCCAAGAGTTGAGGGAAGGCTGTGTTGACTAGCTGCCTTCCCTCTAGTCTATCGTTTCTAAATTAAGGGCTGCTGGCGCAGTTAGCCATGGAGTAGCTTTGTGCGGAACTCAACAAACTTCTTTATACTCAAGGTAATGTGAAAATGAGGTAGAGGTAAATAACAAAACAGATTTAGAAGCTAGCTCTGTCTTCTACTAAAAGCTTGAATAGATCATATAAATCATGGTATGAATATTATAAACAAGAAAAAGTACGTTTGTCAAAACTAACGAAACCAAAACTAACTAACTCTTGTAGGAAGCTATTGCTTAAGCAATAGAGAATATCTGTACTTGTTCATTATTCATTATGTACCCAATTTATCACTGTTTCAAAACAAATTCATGTCTGATCTATAAACATAAATACGATAATTTTAACGTGTTGAATATCTTGAGTAATTAAATTTTCACGCAGCCAGTGACTTTACGATCTATATACGATTGAATGGTTTTAATTATTCATATGGTTGTGAGATTCTTAACAGCTAATTACTCTCCAAGAAAAAAAAAACACACAACCTTTTAACTGCTTTTAGTGAGTCAAATGTAGACCTAACTTCAAGTTTTGAACAATAAATACAAATATCTCTTTCTTGTATACCTATGGTGAATTTTATAACTTATCAGCTTCCAACAGGCCAATTATTTTATCACTAGGGTTAAGTTGTTTTTAAAATGTACAGAAAGGTCCGCATGAGGTTGAAAATTTCCAGTAAAATAAGTAGTGCGTTCTGTTAGTGCAGGTCTTGATAATCTTTAAAACGAACGATGATTTTTTAAATCAGGTAATTTGTATGTTTCTGTTTTACACAGGTCAGCACTTTATGTACTAAAATTAACAATCAATATTCACAAACTGCCAAACAAATTTAAAATTCCATTTTGATTCTTCACATACGGATAAATTAATCTGATAAAAGGTTCATACACACGTGTGTTACTTCAAGTTATTTTAAAAATAAAAAAATGCAAACCTAACTGGAAGTATTTCCAGAATATGTTCATTTTGAAACATTGTTGTGTTTCTAAAAGTCCTATACAAGTAAAAAAGGCAAACCTGACTTGGAAAACACCCGTTAAGTTCTTTATTTAGAGACATTGTTCTTCAATTACTGTGCACATTTCATCTCTAAGAGTAACACTGGATAAACTAACCTGGAGTAACTCTGTGCTGTGTTTCTAATAGATCTAAAAGTAAAACTGGACAAACTAACCTGGTGTGCTTCTTCTTCAAAGGTCTTCATTTGTAGAAACTGTTCTAGTTTCTTCAACCTTCGGTCTGCAAGTTTCGCTAGTTTAGCTGTGGCTTTTTTTAATTCACTATGTAAACTACTTCCTTTGGTCAAACAATCCCTGTGAACCAGAATATCATGGCTCAGTTACATTATTACTTCAGTAATAAACCCTGATTTCACTGTTTATATGAAGAGTTACTCAGGACGAAATGAAATATTTTAAGTGAATCCTGTTTGAAGAGTCAGTGTATACATCATACAAGTCAGTATTAGGAGAAACAAAAAACCCTTTCTCCTCATAAAATTGAAAAGTTTAGGCATTTAATCCACAAACAAGCTCAATAAACATCAGTTTCCATATACACAATAACTTTATTTGTATAATGTTATAATGCACATGGAAACGTTGGTGTCATGTTTATTGAAGGCATACAGAAGTGCTGTCATCTAATGTATTTACTAACGAGCTGTTAAATTACCATATTTCATTATTCAAGTTGTAGCAAAGAATTACTGAAATTGCTTTAGCTGTTTGGAACAATATCAACAAAAATATTCAGCGTTTCAACTGTTATCTACACATGTGCAGATAGTTTGGTACACCGAGAAAGAGAGTGGAGTCTGCGCTAATACACTTCAAAACGATTCTGTATCGGAACATTAACCTATTACAGTATAACTGTCCTATCTATTCGATAAATTTCTAGACTACTCATACAAAATATAATATGATTAACGATACTCGAAAACTAAATAAACACAGTCCATCTTATGGTATCTTTCAGTAGAGTGGATCTTTAAGGAATACGAGTCATACAGTATTCTTTAAATATCAACAACTGATATATAGTAAAACCAGTTAAAATGTTAACAGTCATATCAGGACCTTCACTTTTCTCTTTATATATGGCATAACGGCAATAAAATAAACTTTACATTTAATTACTTAGATAACTTTGATATACATTACTAAAGAAATGCCTGTATAACTGAAGCAAAATGTTTTACTTACTGATAAATGGAAATCACAAAATATACCTGTAATCGGGATTACAATGTGTTTTACTTCCGTATGATTCTAATTCCTTTAAAACTGTATCTCCTTCGTCCACTAGATGGCGCAAATGTTCGTCTTGAAAGGCCTGGTTGATAAGTCTTTTTTGTTGTTCGATTATTTGGCTCGTCAGCATAGCTGTTGTTGGAAGTTTGCTCCCTCGCAATTCCTGCATGATACTAACTAGATGACGCCCCGATAGCTGACAGCCAGTAATAAATGGTTCTAAAAACTAAGAACGAAAATAAAATTTGTTTATCCCTGTAAAATCACTTTCATTCATGAATTTAATAATTTTTCGTTGACTTGCAAAGCACTCAATCGAAGTAAAATATCATGAAAAATAATTATTATAAATTATTATAAATACATTATTAAAAATAATTTTACCTTAAAACTATTACGGACTTTTAATTAATTTTTATACATCTGCCCACAGAGTTTAAATATTACGAGCTTCTGAAATAAGAAAAAAAAACTACATTTTATAATATTTCTAGTACAAACTGGCGACCGGTAAAGAAGTTACAGAGCAAAAGTTTTAAAGGCACATATACACACACACACCATTCTGAAACTAATCCACTCTTGGTGGTCATATCTGTAGTATCCGGAATGTTGGGGAAGTAGTTGATCTCGCTTAACAAATGTGCGCAATTTTTCAATAGCCGTGACAGCTTCAAACTGAGGAAAAAGAAAAAAAGACATTAAACTTGTAAAAAATTTCTAATAATTTTTAAGAAATCGAGAAAGATGACGGTTATTTTCCAATATTTACTTTAAATATTACTAATGGACTAAGTTCTGTGCTTTTTTTTCAAAACCACGAGTTCGTCCCGCTTGCACGAGAAAAACATTTTTATTTGCAATATCTTAGATTTCCATCAAGTTTTGCAATTACTAAATATATTTTTCCAAGTGAATATAACACATAAAACTCAGTGCAATACAAATTCAATTTAAAAAAAAAAAGAAACTTAAAAGTCTTGTAACACACGCGCAAAGATTCACGTTAAACATTCCAATCAAAACCAGAACTGGGAATATGTGTCAGAAGAGACGTAGTTGTCTTATTCAATAGCCATTTACATATAATCAACTAAATGGTTTCACGTAAAATAATTTATTCTGTAGTCACAAGGTCTTTAAAATTAACATTAAATTTTCTATACGCCCGTGTTTACTATATAATTTTTCACACATTTCCAAACAATGGAACTAATGAACTTGGTATCAGTTCTAAGATATTTGGAGCTAGAAAACTAAATATTTTGCAAGAAAAGTGACATTACTTTATTCTTTATTTTGAGATCCATATACACTAGATTTACTCTATTGACAGGCTATTCGTTTGATAACAACAATCAAAATCTCATACATGTTCTTCTAGAGACAGATCTAAAACGATTTCCGAGAGTAAAGCCCCCTCTCCCAGTTGCTCAGCGGTTAGTCTGCTGGCTTAGGACGCTAAAAATCGGATTTCGAAACCCATGGAGGGAAGAACACAGATAGCCCATTATATAGCTTTGCGCTTAACAATAACCAAATCAAATGTGAATACTGGAATGTGAGGTTTTCCTTACCTTAAATCCGCTCACTGGAAATAGAGGTACGTCTTCAGGTTGGAGTTCAGTGTACACCACAATATTGTTTATAGCATTCGGAATGTTCGCCTGAAAATAAACAACCAAATTAATATTAAAATTCATCCCTTGCGCCAAACTTCAGGATAAGTTGCAAAAAATATGACTTCCTGCTAGTTTATCTCCCGGTTTAAGACGAGTCAAAAAAGCTTCTATAACATACACATTAAAATAATGAAAACAACTGGTGTACCAATTACAACTTACTTCAAATAAGCAAAACGTCTCGTCTAAGATTGTCCAATCAGAAGCCTGGGATTGTTGACCATCAATCACGATGCAGAAACCGAGGGCAACCACTTCTTTTCTAAATCGAAACGATATGAAAACGTGAGAGACATCGACGAGTTTTGAAGAAGAAGCAGTATCAGGTACCGTTTATTTTTCTAGAAATATGACATTTATCAAACTAACGAAAAACAATTTTTCTCACTAGAATGAAGCAAAAATGTACATTGTATTCATATACGTATGTGTGTGTGTATGTATGTACACTAACAAAAGCAGCGAAAATGAAATTTACAAAAAGTTGTACATTTGTTAATTACAATTGTTTTTTGTATTGTTATATGACCAGATTAATAAACCTTCATTTCCATAAATATAACGATTAAAACTAAGATACGTGACAGATACACAAATCATTATTGATCAATGAATTAAAGCATTTGTTGACTAAATTATTTACTAGCACCTAATTACAACTCAATAAACTCTCATTCAGTCTTAGTCAAAATTTACTGAAGTTACTTAATAGTCGTTTTTTAAATTCTAGTGTCATATCAGTTTAATAAGTATGTTTCTTTGTTCTTCATAATTACAATGTATATATATGTATACACTGAAATAAGTATTTTAGTTATCTTGTCTTCAACTTTCTGGGATGTTTAAATGATGATTTTTGTTAAAAACAAAACATTTACTTTGTTTTACTATATACCATTAAAAACAAGATTTAGGTATTTTTTCTAATTTCGTTTTGATGTATAGTGCTTTGGTTCACGAAATTAACTTTTAGGTGAGGAAAAAAATTCCAAATAGAGGTATCTTACCGTGGAACACTGTGGAAGTAGATCAGTAATCTGGCTAATTCCGTTGCTGTTACTTTCTGGAGTTCCCTGAATATGGAACAGAATACCACCACAATGCTTCGACCACTGACATCACGTGATCCTAGAGAAACGGTCGAGAACAATTATTATCAGATTCATTGTTGTAAGATGGTACAACAACGCAGAAACCATGATATTATTCGGTGCAAATTGTGAAATAGAATAAAAACAAATAAAAAAAACTGTATTACTCTGAAATCCCTTGAACACATATCAGAATATTAGCTCCAGCCTTAATTGAGTAAAAATGTTTACATATGAAGGGTAATACAGATTTTTCCGGTTATATGCGCATAGTCGTCTCTAATTTTGAACTGATAGACTGGAGGAACTACAACTAGTTTACAGCATTTGCTGCCAACTCTCGGGTTATTATTTTCTAGCCGAATAATGGAATTTTACAGTCACCCTTACACTGTATCTACAGGCCCAAAGTACGAAGAGTGTTTTTTTTTACGGCAACGGGTCGTGAACCGTGAATCCTCGGATACGGCCATGCTGGATCTTTACGAGTTATAAAGACAAAAATTTTACTTAGTATAACTTGTACAAGCTTCTGATTTTTTAAAGAAAGATGTTAAAATGAGATACTGTCATGATATAAAAGACTGTTTAGTTTATATATTATTGATTAATTTATTTTGTGGGCGAATATTTTATTATTGTTTAGTTTTGTTATAATAAGAGTTAAAAGCAGGCGAATGTAGTAAGTTATGTTTATAATTCATTGGTGTTGAGACTATCGAACGTCGTGTGCAATACACTGACGTCGAAAATATAGAGATTTCTGGAAGGCCAGACGATTAAGTGATAAAGATATAAGTAGTGTGAGACGAGCGAAAATAACTGAAATAGAATAACAGAAGAGAGTAAAGTTAAAGGGTAAGGAAAAGTTCGGTGTGAATTTAACTACCATAGAAGTGATAGGCCTAAGGTTTAATATATTAGAGTAAGACTAACAGGAGATAAAAAGAAGAATTATTCCATCAAAGCGTGGTTCTAAAGTAATTGAATCAACACTCTGACAAAAGGAACAGAAGATATATTGAAGAAAGAAGACCAAACGATTACGGTAACTAGCGCCACAATTGTAAGTGAATCACACACAGAATACTAATAGAGAAGATATATATATATTATTTGAAAACAAGTGAAGTGCATGCTGTTCATTTATCGCTAACAAGTAGCAGACACATACTGTAGACGAATCCTAACCCTAACAACAACACAGTATACATTTATAATATTAAGAAGTATAAGTAAAAGCCTTTTAATTGACAATTGGCGACCAAACCATAACCATAAAATCTGACAGATACATAATAATGCACGTATTAATTTTATTATGAAAGTTCCCTGAAACAACAATGATGTAATATAATGGCTACTGGTCTAACAGTCCCTACAGATAACACAGATCTGTAATACGGCTACTGGTTTAACAGTTCCTAAAAACAACACAGATCAGTAATATGAATACCGGTCTAACAGTCCCTACAGATAACACAGATCTGTAATACGGCTACTGGTCTAACAGTTCCTAAAAACAACACAGATCAGTAATATGAATACCGGTCTAACAGTCCCTAAGGACAACACATCTATAATATGGCTACTGGTCTAACAGACCCTAACGATAACACAGATCTGTAATACGGCTACTGGTTTAACAGTTCCTAAAAACAACACAGACAAGTAATATGAATACCGGTCTAACAGTCCCTAAGGACAACACATCTATAATATGGCTATTGGTCTAAAAGTCCCTAAATGCAACACAGATCTATAATATGAATACCGGCCTAATAGTTCCTAATCAAGACAACACAAATCTATAATATAACCACTGGCCTGACAATTCCTAAGGACAACACACACTCAATGCTTTTTGAAAAGTAATAAATTTAACTTTGAAATTTATAAAAAATATACAAATCTTATTTTTCAACTTAATTCCTTTTTAATTTTATATTTCTTAAGATTTTTTTTAAAACCCCGGTTACAAAATAAATTATTTTATTACTAAAGTTTCAAACCAGTGCCTTATTTAAAGAGTATTTAAATTAACATCAATATTAGAATATTTTTAATGTTAACAACAGAATTACTAAATTAAAAAAACCCAAACTTCACAGATTACAGGTATTTTTGAAAGATGCTTTACTTACTTTGTCCCGAATAACTTTAAAGTTTCTTTGGAATTATCCACAGTATACTTAACTAAAGTACATCTAAAATACAAGCCAAAACCTCTGAATCCCTATTTATTAAACATTTCGAACCCACCCACCCCCCAATGGCTTTCAATTAAAATTTAAAGAAACGTTAAAAGTGTTTTTTAAATATTAATATTTTTTATTACAATTCCAACATAGAAAAACTTTAGTAAAAAAAGTTAATTCAACCCGTAAAAAAATTAGAATTAGAGAGATAAAAATGATTACTTACTAGGAGGGTCCAATTTTCGGGATTTCTTTGTCCCAAATTATTAGTTTCTCCAACACACAGTTTAAAAAATAAAAATGTGTATATTTTGTATAAATTTTAAAGACATGTTTTTAAAGTAATGTTTTTTCTGGTTTTTATAGTTTTGATGCCTGTGATGCAACGGAACCAGTTGAATAAAGAACAGTTTGGTGAAGAACGAAATTATTCGAGTTTATATATCTATACACGTATGTACATTTAAAGATTAACCTCTACAGTAATATAATTAAGTTCTACTGCACGGATATATATATAAATGTATTGTGTAAATATTGTGTTTCTTGTTTATTTCTAACTACATTATTATTTTAGTAAAACGGTCCCCTTGACAACCACAAACTTAAATTTTCAAACAAATGAATTGAAAATTAGCCAGGTTATTACGTTTACATACACACACAAACATGAAACGCAAGTTGAAACAATCGATTACTATCCTAACAATGTTTCTCGTTTTCTTTATTCGATTGCTATCCTAACAATGTTTCTCGTTTTCTTTATTCGATTGCTATCCTAACAATGTTTCTCGTTTTCTTTATTCGATTACTATCCTAACAATGTTTCTCGTTTTCTTTATTCGATTACTATCCTAACAATGTTTCTCGTTTTCTTTATTCGATTACTATCCTAACAATGTTTCTCGTTTTCTTTATTCGATTATTTCTATCGTCAATCAACTTCTTCGCTATCTACAGATAATATTTGTTTTCGTATTTTAAGTCTACAATGTTTTAGTATTTCAACGCGTTTTAATATACAGTATGATATCGTCTTGTGGTGTCCAATTCAAAAGTGGGGACAAAAAAGTAACGGGGTTTTCATACACTGTATGACTTGCACGTGTAAATAACTTAAACAAGGTTGTGCTTAACAAAAAAAGTTGGAAAGTATAGGCGTCATTCTGGAGCCAACGCGTGCCCATACGTCATCAAGAAGCAATCAGCTGTGGACTGAGTGAATCACTAGCACATGCGTGTTACAGACAGCCCGACAACTTACCATCTGGAAGTTGTCAGGTTGTATGTGTTCGTGAAAACTTATTCATATATTTCATAAAATATTCTTATCGTAATTTTAAACACAATCTTACAATATATAGAAATATATATATATTAATATATAAAAGGAAGACAATGTCCTTGAACAGAGTATCCAGAATACAAATACACATAACAGAGTATCCAGAATACAAATACACATAACAGAGTATCCAGAATACAAATACACATAACAGAGTATCCAGAATACAAATACACATAACAGAGTATCCAGAATACAAATACACATAACAGAGTATCCAGAATACAAATACACATAAAAGACTATCCAGAATACAAATACACATAAAAGACTATCCAGAATACAAATACACATAACAGAGTATCCAGAATACAAATACACATAACAGAGTATCCAGAATACAAATACACATAATAGAGTATCCAGAATACAAATACACATAACAGAGTATCCAGAATACAAATACACATAACAGAGTATCCAGAATACAAATACACATAATAGAGTATCCAGAATACAAATACACATACATGGAAGTGCGAAGAAAACATCGTTTGAACATTTCTAATCGAAGTTGTCATCAATCTAACAGAAGAAAGTCTGATAGTGTCCTCAATATACACGTGTAAACGGATTTGCGTTTATGGTAAAGCCACTATGAGTATCCTACCACCGTCCATAATTTTGAACTACTGACCCGTCAGCAGCACCCTATCACCCAGGCTAAAAGAAATACTTTATGGTATCGGTCGCATTCCAACCCGGATTGCCAGTAATTAAAATGTATCTTCAAACTCTCGAACGTTTTAAGTATAAGCAAATTCTGTTTGAAGTTAGTCCTAGAATGAAGTTATCAGTTTTTTAAATTACTTATGCATTCATTGTGTGGGGGTCCATGGTTGCACTCGATATAGCCATTAGGGTTCCCAATAACATATGAATTACATAAATATAAATCAAAAATACTAATAGTATTTAAGTTCATTAAACAAAGTACTGCTGGGGTCTGAGTAATTTCTCCCAGTATTTCTTCTTAGTTTTTAAACTAGAGTTAAAACATGCAAAAACAAAGTTTTAAACTATATTTGAGCTCCAGTGGTAGTGAACGGTATATAAATAAGTTCGGTTATTTTCGGATTAACCGTGGCTCTATGAGTGTTTCTATTGCTTTATTTTCATCCAAATGTGGTTTTCTAAGACAGTTTCATTGAGTCGTTTTACATGATTTTGTTCTGATACTGTCATAATTTAAAAGACTTTAGTTTAAATATTATTGATTAATTTATTTTTGTGAGTGAATATTTTATTATTGCTTAGTTTTTGTTATAATAAGAGTTAAAGGCAGACTATTGTAGGAAGTTTTGTTTATAATTCATTGGTGTTGAGATTATCGAACGTCACGTGCAATACATTGACGTCGAGAATATAGAAGGCAGGCAGAGGATTAAGTGATAAAGATATAAATAGTGTGAAACGAGCGGAAGCAGCAGACAGATAATGACAAAAAAAAAAAGGAAAGAGTAAAGTTACAGAGCAAGGAAGAGTTCGGCGTGATGTTAACTACCGTAGAAGTGATAGGCCTAACGTTTAATATGTTAGAGTAAGACTAACAGGAGGTTAAAAAGAAGAATTATTCCGTCAAAGCATGGTTCTAAAGTAATTGAATCAGCACTTTGACAAAAGGAACAGAGGATATATTGAAGAAAGAAGACCAAACGATTACGGTAATTAGCGCCACAATTGTAAGTGAATCACACACAGAATACTAGTGCGATAGTAATAGAGAAGATAGTTCGGCTTGTCACTGAAATTATAAAGTAACTGAATAGGCCTAAGTGGACTTTTGACAACAAGAAGAGAACTATATATAAATAGTGTTTATTATATGCCTATAATCTGTATAGTGTGAAGACTTTGTTGTACGTACGTTTAACTTATTCCGAATGCGTATATATTATTTGAAAACAAGTAAAGTGCGTGCTGTTTATTCATCGTTAAATTTATCGCTAACAAGTCACAGACACCTACTGTAGAAGAATCCTAAGCCCAAGAACAACATAGTATATATTTATACTATTAAGAAATATAACTAGAAGCATTATATTTTGACAATTGGCGAAAATAAATATATTTCAATATTTAGCCAGACACTCAATTTCTGCATAGACCTTCTTACTGCTGGTATCGAAATCATGATGCAGTCTAATCATTACGTACTTATACATACATGTCTCCAGGAGTCATTGCTTGAATCAAGTATTTTTGTTTTTTTCTAAGATATATATAAAAAAGTGAAATGTTTACAGTATTTGCTACAGGTGGCAGAAATTTTTCGAAGTGATTTCACTCAGTTGAAGGTCAGTATTATTTGATCCTCTAATTACAAAATACCTTTAAAAATACATTATGTACATATTGACATACTGGATAACTTCTAATGAGCAAAATGAAGTTTTTATTTTTCTTCTTGTGAACCACAGAGTTAAAAATAGTCGATTTAAATCTTTGTTCTTTTATGTTGAGCATAAAGCTATACAACGAGCTATGCTCTGCCCATTGCGGGTATCTAAACTCGATTTTTAGCATTATAAGCCATCAGACTTGCCGCTGATCCGCCGGAGGGCAAATCTTTACCAAAGCAGAAGTATGTTGCCGGAGATGCGAGCGTAGCGCCACAAACGACATGTTTAGCAAATATATATCTGCTTTGCGGCGAATTACTGACCATTCTGAAGTACAATATCGCCAGTAATAGATTCTTGATTGGAGGATTATCAAAGAAATCTTTTCCAAGGAAAGATACTTGTTAACGAAAACAGCAAAGAGAGGCAAAGTTCATGTCACGCCAGTTTCAAAAATGACCATCTTATAATCAAAAAGTCAAGATATCTAATCAAAAACATTTTAGATGTGAAAAAAAGTGCGTCCAAAAAAAGGATTGAGCGTGCGACCTTAAAGGAATGAAATCAAAATTGGCGGCCAAACTTGTAGCTACACTTATGGCATTGATAAGAATTTTACAGCAAATATTCATTCATTAGTTAGCCAGGCCGCGTATTTTGTTTTACTCACCATCATGCCCTCTGTCGAATAATGGTGAAACCCAGTGAACAAAAATAACATTTCTTTCTAGAATTCCTCGTCGTTTTGTTGGAGTTCTTAATTAATATTAACTTCCGGTCAGAATAAGTTATGTACTTAGAGCGAACCTAAAAATCATTAACTTCCGGTCAGAATAAGTTATGTACTTAGAGCGAACCTAAAAATCATTAAATTCCGGTCAGAAATAAGTTATGTACTTAGAGCGAACCTAAAAATCATTAACTTCCGGTCAGAATAAGTTATGTACTTAGAGCGAACCTAAAAATCATTAACTTCCGGTCAGAATAAGTTATGTACTTAGAGCGAACCTAAAAATCGACCTGGTAATCAATATACCTAATTAAGCATATTTTTCTTTCATTTCTGTTTATAGAAATTAGAATGTGTTGTTTCATCAATTGAGTACTCTTGCTGTTAACGATATTTTCTGCTGTGATCCCAATAACAGGGTAATCTTCAGGGAAAACGCATGGTTATTCTGATATCGTTTTATCTAATTGAAGGCATCTTCATTACAAGCTCTTTTAAACTAATAATCTAACTTTTGTCTATAAAGGAAAGAGAACACAATACAACAGTATTTCCTCAGCTTTAAATACAACTATAATAATTATTTTAATTCCAAATAGCTAGATCAAAAACAACGTCACAATCGTATGGATACAACATTAAACTAACTTCTCCCCTCCTATGACCAGCAAACAATTAATAAAGGCGATACATGATATTGAACCTGCTCCTTTTGTACATTGGTGTGCTGCATTTCCGCAATTATAGGAGAGGAAATTCCAATTTCTTTCATTAAGTAATGGCATATAATAATAACAATTTCATACGGATGTGATCATTACGGAACTGGAATTCAAACCAATGTGATCATTACGGAACCTGAATTCAAACTTCAGGAAAAAAGTTTTATTCGTTATCCTCATTCATATTTTTTAGTAATCAGTTATATATTATTTTATATATATTATTGCTTTTTCTATTTCATTCAGAGCAACTACCTGCCTACGGCTGACTACAAACAGCGAATAGAAAACGTTAAGTACTTTTACACGTACGTAACAAAAACTTAAGCATTCAAAACGACAGTTATACACAGATACAGACATTGATTTCAAATTAGAAGAAACTTTTCAAAAATTCAAGACTTCTCTCTTCAGTGTAGAGACGTTTCTCTAAAGAAGATGTACGTTTACATGGGATGTCAAAAGACGTTCGGAGCGGATGTAATTGTACCTTGCAGATGAAGAGACAAAACTGGAGATGTAGACATTTAAACTGGAAGGGGAGGGAGCAAGTGAATGTTTTCGTTTTTATCTTTTTTGGGTTTCCTGGACTTCAAGTGTTATTGTAACAGAATAGGTTCTAGCAGACACCTGTGGTTGTAACAGAATAGGTTCTAGCAGACACCCGTGGTTGTAACAGAATAGGTTCTAGCAGACACCTGTGGTTGTTGTGAGTAATTTTAGACGGCATGGTCATGTTTATTACAACTTTGAACTACACAATCCTCGCTACCTGACACTATAGTCCCAACCCTGAAACTGACCGTGTTATCGTAATTATATCTTTTACTTTAAGATTCCCGATAAAAAACAAACAACTAGAAAATCAAACACTCCCTATTGGAACGTCTTCTGAAGTTTTTCCAAAACATTTTGTTCTTCCTTTTCGAGAACAATTGAGAAGCAGATAATTCTATATCTTGAACTCGATGGTTTTTCTTTCTACACTGTATTGATAACTAACATGGTATACAAACAAGTCTAAGACAAACGGCTTTTTCTTAATATCAGGGATGTCACTAATAACAAATCTTCTTTGAGATAGAAAAACATTTTCCAACCTGACTCATTTTTCTCACGTGGCATGTGGCTTAATGGAACAAAGCCGAAAAAAAAACAGATTTTAAAATTTTTTGGTCAAGCGTGAACAACACAGGAAGTCAATACTTACTCAATCTTTAATGAAATGCGTTTTGTTTGCGTTAGATTGTGAAACCTAATTAAAATAGAAAAAAAAAGTTGATAACAATCATTACCTTCAATTATACACAATCACTGAAAATGGCTCCGATACTTTTCGTCTTAACAATTTATATTACAAAAATCTGCTAACAGTGTTCGTTTTTTAAGAAGAAAGCTGTACAAGGGGCTATTTGCGCTGGGCCCACCGTAGGAATCTTACCTCGGATTTTAGCGTTGTAAGCCATTGGTTGCGGGTTGAAACATACTAACGGAATACTCACAACTCTCTTTAACTTTTAACAAATCACAAATCGAACTAGTTATTTGTGATACTTAATCTATAAAAACGATTGATTTTGAATTATTTGCAAGAAATACTGACACTTTACACTAACCCTGAAAATTAAAACAAAGTTTTAAACACTGATAAATCGTGAAAACTACTTTATATCAAAACATGCTAGAGTCCTACTATTCGCTTACCTTTAGGTTTAATATCGAAAATAAAAATGTTGTTTAGTCATTAAACATCTCATGAAAATTGGAAACGAAATTTAACTATAATGAGCTATACCAGAAAGCCGACACGTCACGAAGAAAGAAAAAAAAAGTTTGTTTTTATCTTAACGATGCATTTGTCGACCTAGTTGGGTTGAAAGAGTGTAATTGGATTCAGACTTTAGCATTTGGATAATGATAGATTGATAAGCTTAATATAATTTACATTAAATCTATTCTACATTGTCAGATTTAATTTTATAAATTATTGGATTTTGTTTATTACAGTACAGTAAACTTATTTACATTACCTTATTAGTATTTTTGTGTTTTTCATACATTTAATTCATAATTTTATATCATATAGGTAAGTATGTACTCGAGTAAATGGCTTGATATCTGACAGAGAGCACTTTGTGAAACATTACTAAAACCATTTTAAATTCCCTTTTACGCAGAGATAAACCATTTCTGATCATAAATAGATAAGTATAAGAATAAAAGCTTCTATAGAAGTCGTTTTTAATGTGCGAGATCACGAAACAGACTACGCTACAAGAATCGCACGCTAAACGGACATATAACAATTGTTTTATTTAACGAAACAACCATTTGTTTAGCCATTCTATTGTTCTTTTGAATAAGCCAATGTCAAATACTCAAAACGTTTGTTTTTTTGAGTACAATTAATAACCTTTCACGCAAGCTTCCATATAAAATACAAGTAATAAGTGATGATGTAAAAAATCCAGTTAATGTGAAGTGAAATCTCTTAACACTACTACGTAAGTAATATTTTTCACAATTAATTGAAGAGATTGTCGTCCTTATCTTACCTGGCAGGAAAGCTATACCAGAATGTAGTAAATCGGGATCCACCTGGCTGATACAAGTGGGATGAGACAAAGCGTTGTCATGGTAACCGTCGTCAAGATCTTTATCTTTACAGGTACTTGATGAAATCAATTTTGTTGTTTCTTTCACCGAGGGAGATTTAGTGAGTTTAAAAAGGCAATCTAAAAATACAGAAGGTATTTACTAGTATTACACAAAAATACGTTTTTGTTTTGTCTAAAAAAGTAATCAGTTATAAAAGCCGTTTGGATTTTTCTTTTAAACCAGGTATATCGAAAAAAATAAAATTTTTGTCATATTCTATTGCAGTAAGTCTGAAAGCACGTAGACCATGTCATTTTTAGATTCAACACAAATATATAAAATGTCCGTCACCTAACAACTCGTATAGGTATACAAAACGTACTGATCATAACAAAAAATACCAACAACAACAATATACATACAAAGAAATCAACAATATACACAACAAAAGAATAACAACAACATACATAAAACAATATCAACAACAATAGACACAACAAAAGAATAACAACAATATACATACAAAAATATCAACGACAATATACACAACAAAAAGAATATGAACAACACAGTTAAAGGAAATTCATTGTCTAAAAACAGGATAAGGTGTACAGCTCATGTAAGTCTTGTCTGTTTAAAAATAGTTGAATACTTATAATATTTTAAGTGTTTTATTTATGATAACTTCCTTGGGTAAGCACTGATCTTAAAACGAACAACTTATCGAAATTAAAGCTCTGTTTTGTTTTTTGAAGTTCGCCCCCACGGCTGAAAGGGCGAGCATGTTTGGTGTGACGCGGATTCGAACCCGCGACCCTCTGATTGCGAGTCGAGCGCCCTAACCACCTGGCCAAAGCTCTGTATTTAACATCTGCTGTATGGAATTTGTACAAGTACAAAAAATCATCCAATTATTAACCACAACTTCATTCCTTTAAAATCACTACAATTTACTTACAGAAATAGTTGTATTGTTATTTCAAATAAATATAACGTGTTTTTTACAGTTTAATCGTCAGGACCCTTTCCTTTCCTTTGAAAACTTAAAGATCATTAAAACAGTAAAAATTAAGGGGTGAAACACATAATTGTCAGAAAAATCATAGCTTGCCGAGTTATGCTTAATGAACTGTATGACCCTGAGGATACTGTGGTCGAACAGCTTTGTTTTTATGTGACAGAAAAAGGAACTACGCATTATGATTAACTGTTCACTCACGGAGGTCTCGAGCTTTTTACGTCCCTTTATTAAACTGTATACAAGAATTTAATCGCACAATACTAGAAATATCAAAACTCTAACTACGAAATAGGCCCTTACTAAGAGGAGCGCCCGGCATGGCCAGGTGGTTAGGGCGCTCGACTCGCAATCTGAGGGTTGCGGGTTCGAATCCGCGTCACACCAAACATGCTCGCCCTTTCAGCCGTGTGGGGCGTTATAAAGTGACGATCAATTCCACTATTCTTTGGTAAAAGAATAGCCCAAGAATTGGCGGTGATGAGTAGCTTCCTTCCCTCTTGTCTTACACTGCTAAATTAGGGACGGAGGGCGCAGATAGCCCTCGTGTAGCGAAATAAAAAACAAACAAACTAGGAGGAGTTTGTTACAGTGGTGCTATTTTAACTATCTTGCCTTTCGGTATTATCTGAGATACACTGAAGCTACTTTCTCTCTAACAAGAATAAAAATACAATCACGTATAATTCATGTACCAGTATGAAAAAGCACATTTTCCCAGGTAATTACATAGTTCGAATTTTTCATTAATTTGTATAACTTACGTTATAATCTAACCGCGTATACCCCATTAAGGTATGTCTTCACAATAAAGAGTGTGACAGTATATCTTGGAGCATAATAGGTTTCACATCATATCCAATCCACACTGAGAAATAAAAGTAAAATAACACCTTACTGAATACACTGAATGGCACCTCATGCAACACATGGGTTACAAGGGAACCTCAAATTTCAGACATAGCTGTTACTAAGTTTGAAATACTAACTAGAGGGAGAGAAATAAGTTTGTCATAATCTGCCACTTACAAGGCTACTCTTAAACAAATATTTGAATATTTAAAGTGTGATCAGCGGAATATTGCGAGCTCGGACCTTAGACCTTCCGATCCGCATTCCAGCACGCAGACCAATAAGCCATATCTGGCCCAAAATAGCAATTAAATTATTATTATTATTATTGATCTACGACCGTTTACCACCAGAGTGCATGGAAATATATGTATCAACAAAGAAAATTAAAAAAAATCAACGAAACATTTTATCAGCTAAGAAAATTTAAAACAAATCAACGAAGCATTTTATCAGCAAAGAAAATTAAAAAAAAATATCAACGAAACATTTTATCAGCAAAGAAACTTAAAAAAATCAAAGAAGCATTTTATCAGCAAAGAAAATTTTTAAAAATCAACAAAACACATTATCAGCAAAGTTTTTTTTTAAATCGACGAAGCATTTTATCAGCAAAGAAAATAAAAAAAATCAACGAAACATTTTATCAGCAAAGAAACTTAAAAAAATCAAAGAAGCATTTTATCA